TACTATACTAGAATTGCTATTTTTTATTTTGAATTTTAATAAAGAATAGCTTGCTTTAAATAAAATGTTTTAAAAGATTTTTAAAAGAAATATAAAAAAAGTTAGATAAAAAATTATATATATTATTAGTTGTTTTAATAATATATTATTCTAAGTAATAGTTGAATATTTATATTAAATATATTTTAGAAAAGAGTCTATTAATTAAAGTACTGATAAAAGTAATAAGTTGTAAAAAAAAAAATTTTATTAAAAAATATTAAGAGATTATATATTTTAAATAAGTTAGAAATTTAAATATAAGGTTTTTTTGAATAGTATTAGTTGTTAGTAAATTAATAGTATTATTTAGGTTTTTTGTTAATAATTTATAATTATTATTAATAATATTAAAGTTTGTTGAAGTGTTAATAAAAATATTTGTTATTCTTTCTGCTAATTTATTTTTTAAAAATAGACAAACCAAAAATAGTAGTAGCAAGCAAGAACTAATTTAGAAAACCTGTTCTAATACTTTAAAAAAAACAAAAAAACAAAAAATAATATAAAGTTTATTAAAAATGTTCTTTCTTTTAGCTAAAATATAAAGTACAAAAGAACAATTTAGACTTTTTTCTTAAAACTTTTTAAAAATTTTAAGAATTTGTTGAAGTTTCTGTATAGTTAATCAAATTAGATTGTACAAAAATAAGTAAACAACAAAGTAAACAAACAATATATTATATTCTCTTTTGAATAAATAAACAGAAGTTTGAAATAAACAACAATTACACAACTAACAAGAACAAAAAAATATATATAATCTCTTTTTAGAAAAGTCTAAAACAGTATGATTAGTAAATACTAATTGATTATTAATTTGAGCTTAAATTTAGAAATAAGTAAGTTATACAAGCAGAAATAATTTAAGTTTATTTGAGGATTAAAAAAAAAAATCTTAGTTACTTAGATAGCAATATATTAATTAAAGTACTTAAAGATATAATACTACATAGTTCAAATAATATAGAACAGATAGTATACAATATAGCAATTAGTAATCTAAATAAAATTACAAAACAAGACCTGTTAATTTACAATTAGATGCTTGAGATGCCAAAGCAAATCAAAACTAAAAGTTTTAAAAAATATTAATTAAAAAATAGGCAATTAAAGTAAAAATAATATAAGACAATTTAGGCTCAATTAACTATATACCAATATAAATAGTTCAGAAATATTAAAAAAAAAACAAAATAAAGTAGAAAAAGAAAATGTAAATATTAATATTTAGAATAAAAAGACAAAAATGGTTTTGTAAAAATGCACTAAAACAAAGCATATAATTACTCTTAAATAAGAACTATAATAATAAAACAATATATACAATAAAGATATTAGTACACAATATATTAAATAGTTTATAAGAAAAAAACCAAAATTTATTAAAAGGTTACTAGTATCTAATAAATTTGTTAAAAATATCAAAGAGCTGTTTAAAAAAGATAAAGCATAAATTGTAATTATATTAAATAGTAAATATAATAAAGAAAAGACAATTGATAATATTTAGAAAAAACATAATAACTAAAAAAAACATGCCCAAGAAAAGAAAAAATTAAATTAGAAAAAAAATTAATAAAAAAAATGAAAAATATAAAAGAAACAAGAAAAACAAAAAACAAAACTTTTAATTAAGAAGAAATAGACACAAATAAAAGAAATAAAGAAAGCATAATAATATTAACTATATAAAATTTAGCAAAAAAGGTCTCAAAGTATAAGATTAAATATCTAGTAAAAAAATTAAACAAATTAACTGTATGCAAGATTAAGAGAAGTGCATTCAGAATCATAACAGTAATAAAAATAAAAAAAGAAAATAAACAAGCATTTTTATAATAATTCTTTTAGGAAATAGAAAGCTAGCAAGAATAATAAAAGATAAAAAAGAAAAAAAGAAAAAAAACTAATTTATATCAAGATTAAAAGAAATACTAAAAAGAAGCTTTGAACTAAGTTTATTATAAGAACTTAAAGTTAGAAAAGGCAGCATACATTTTATCAAATAAATAAAGAAAGCCAGATGAAAATATATATAGACATCAAGAAAAAAGATTGATATAATAGAATCTTTGATATACTGAGAAGTTAAAACAAAAAGATAAATGAAGAATTCTATAAAAATAGTGGCAAAATGCAAAAAACACAAAAAAAAGAAAAAGAAATAATAAAAAAACATAAGCTTAGAAAAAGAGCATACAGATACAGAAGAGTCTACAGATAAGAATATATATAAAAAAAATATAAAACAAAAGATATGAACAGAAGACATTAGAATAAAAAGTAGTTAAAAAGATTTAATTATCAAAAATCAGAAACAAGAAAAGTTAAAAGAAGAAACCAAAAGTATGATTAAAGTACAAAAGCAGTTTCTATATATAAAAAATATAATAGATCAAATACTAAGAAGACTAGAAAACTAAAAAAAAAACAGAAGAAAGAATATGGGTAGCATAAGTTAATTACTCCTAAGAGTGACTTAGTTGAACTAATAGTTGCAGACAAAGAAATTGAATATTTTTTATAAAAAAAAAAGTGTAACATTTAAGAAAAAAATAAAAACAGTACTTTTTTGTTAAGAAAAAAAAAACAAAAAAGAAAAAAGAAAAAATATAAAAACAAAATAAAATCAACTAAATAAAAATAAAAAGAAGAAAAAAAAGATATTAAAATAATATGTCATAATATAAACAAATTAAAAATTAAAAATTGAAAGCTAAAAAATTTGTTTAGCTAGACAGAAGAAAAGAAAATTACAATATTAAAAATTATAAAAACAAATCTTATAGACAAAAAAGAAATTCTTAATATACAGAATGATCAAAAGTTATACTAAATACTGAAGTAATGCAACAGAAAATAAAAAAAAAAGTTAAATATAGAGATCTTAGTAGAAGAACAGTAAAAGAAATATATAAGTTATAAAGCATTTAAGTAACTAGTTTTACAGAATAATGCAAACTAGTATTAGATAATACAAACTCAAAAAAACAAAAGTATACTAAAGTATTAAGAATATGCTGTAAAGTAGATACTAGGGTCTAGATAAACTTTGCAAAGGCTAATCCTATTAATAATCTGTAAAATAAGTAAATTAATTAATAAAAAGGCTTTCTAAGACTTACAGCTAGATAACATGTTTTAAAATTAGATAACAACTTGATAAATATATAGAAAAAAGGGCCAAATATTATGCTAGATGGCACTTAGTTGTACAGAAACTATAATGACTACTGTTTAGATGTAGTATAAAGACCAGAGTGTTTAAATAGGTAGTTTTTTAGTAGATTATAAATATAGCAACTTGTGTAAAACTTTCAAGCAAACTACTTAAAATAGTTAACCAATAGTTACATATATGGCTAGTTTTATGCTTACTCTGTACAAGTAATATATAATGTATTAACTAAAAACACAAATAAAAAGCATTAACTATTATTAATATTAATCTTAATATAATAATAAAAATAAAAAAATAAAATAAAAAATAAATAAATATTTAATCTAAATAAAACTTAACAAAAGATTAAACATATATATAATATTAGAATGTCAAATATGTTAAGATAAAATAAAAAAATACAAACATATTTAGTATTATGTAAAAAACAAATAAATTTTTAAAGAAGAATTCAAAAATAATTATAATAGTATAAAAAAGTTTAAAAAAAAACTAGCTTTTTCTATATATATATATAATATATACAATTCTCTTCAGAAAAACAGAACCAAAAAAAATAAAAATAAAAAAATTATTAATTAAAGGTTTAATTTCAAAAAAAATATAAAACAGCTAACATAATTTTTAAATACAAAATTAAGAAAACAGTTTGCAAATATGATAACAAGAACAGCTTGTAATATATTCTATAAACAAGTATAAAGAACATTATGTAAAAAAATTAACAAATAAGAAAAGAAGAAAAAATAATGTTCAAAATAAAAAAACTCTTCTAAAAAAATCTCAAATAAAAGAAAAAAAACAAATCAATGAGAAATAAAAAGGAAAAAAAGTAAACAAAAGAAAAAAATAAATTGAAATGATTAAAAAGATAATGCTGGGACTGTCTTAAAAGAAAGAACCTCTTCTATTATGGACTTTAGATATTAGACAAGCAACCTATTTTCAGTTCAAAGTAATGCAACAGGTTGCACTTAGGTACCATTAAGGTGGCCAAATAATGCTAGACTTAGATGTTAGGTGTTTCTATGTAATTGCAGAAGTAATTTCAAAAATCTTAATAAAGTACTAGCGTGACTGCTTAAGAGAAAAAAAATAAAAAATAAAAAAATAAAAAAATAAAAAATAAAAAAATAAAAAATAAAAAAATAAAAAATAAATAAAAAATAAAAAAATAAAAAATAAAAAATAAAAAAATAAAAAATAAAAAAATAAAAAATAAAAAAATAAAAAAATAAAAAGAGATGTTGCTTTATGCTGTCCGACACTGTAGGTAACTACAGTATTATCAAATTTATGCTATATGGTACTTGAAGTCTATTGTACATGTGGTCGAAATTATGTCGAAACCATTACGGCTTACGTTATAACTAGTTTCAAATAAGCCGAAATAGTTTCGATAAAATATCAATTTATAAAGCTTATACATAAACTTTTATATTTTATAGGACAAATAAGATCTTTAAAATTTTGCTTCTATGATAAGTTGATGAGTTTGAAGTTCATAATAATGTTGAAATATACAGTATATTAAACAATATAGGAATTTTTATGAACTATTGTGAAGACCTTTAATATTGTGCATTTCTATAATTTGTATCGATTGTTCTATTAAAATTGTTGTAGGTACCAAATGTTGTCTTCCCTTTTGACACTCAATTTTACATTGTCTTATAGCAATTGGTTCTAAAATATAATCGACATACTTTTCTTTCAATGTATAGAAGTTTTCTAATAGGCGACGAACTCATAGTTATCCTTATCTTTAGGAACATAACTAAAATAATTTAGTTTGTTCGCCAATAATTATGTCATTTGCTAGTTGTGGATAACGACTAACATAAGTAAATTTTTGTGGAGGATGAATGCAATAATCCCTTTTTAACATTTTTGCATCAATTGGAGAATCTAATTTATACAAATGTTTAATTCGATAAGCGAATGAAGACTTTTTTCCTTGATTGAATAACCTATTATGTATGTTATCTTCTGGGATTTGATTAGGATATTCTACTGGGTGATCAATTTCAAAAATATACATTAATTTGGAAACAGGCCGATTAACATATATCCACATTCTTTTTGTTTCAATGTCAGCTTTCCATTTTCGAAATTCGTGAGTTTTTTCCCTTTCAATGATTGGTAAAACCCATTTATCATTTAAACTGACAATTATATCCGATTTTCCACTGACTACATATTCGAGTTTTTGCTTTTTTTGATTAGCTTTCTCCCTATCATCATCTTTTCTAGTAATATTTGAGTTTTTTCGTTTGTCCGCGGAAGATCCAGAATTGATAGGGCTTAGGTTTGATTTTCCGAAAGCAGGTTGATCCGACATTGATTAAAACAAAAAGTTTTATAAGGGTCTTTTTAATGTTAGATTTGAGGTTATAGGAAAAATAATTGGCACCTAATAAATTTTTTGTTAAAGTGCAAAAAGTTGTTTATTAAATACAAATTTTCCTTTCGGATTGGTTTTATTTTTTTTTTTTACGTTACATATTATACCAAAATACAGTCAATTCAGTCTGTCAATATGCCAAATTAAGCAGGGAGGACCTTCTTATTTTTCGGAAAGGCACGGGATTTTTTATGCGCCAATCAACCAATCAGAAACCTTATTCCCCGAGTAAAACGATCCGTAGAATAAACATTAAGACTATCTCAAATCAAATCAATATTTGGGAGCATAGTTGTTTACGTATGAAAAATAGATGTCATTTCTAGTTCGATTTAGACAACTAAATTGTAAAGTTCAACCGAAAATATTTTAGGAATAAGCGAAATGTTAGTATATTTTACTTATTCTAACCCATAGATAAGTCAGCGGTTTACGGTAACTCTTTTATTATATGAGAAGAAAAAGTAACAATGAAAAAAAATAAATAAAAAATGATGTTTATACCGATTTTTAAGTTACATAGAAAACAAGAAAAAAAAAGTTGAAAAATAAAGTGATATAAGTTAGATATTTTAATTTATGAGAAAACGCTGTCCCTAATTTAAATTAAAAAGCTTCTTTCCTGCAATTACTGGCTCTTGATGAATTAAAGTTTCTGGCTTACTGAATAACCTATCGAAATAATAAATACTATAACTTTTAAATAGCATATATGGTCTATTCAACCATAAACTGACCTCTTGATACAGTTTTTTTAACCCATCATTGTCAAATCTTTCTTGAAATTTACTATAGTCAATGAGATAATCGAGCTTTTGCTCACACAAATATTCGTAAGCTTTTCCCGCAACGTAAAGTGATTTAGACAATTTAGAACCTGACCAATCAGTTACCAACGGACAATAAACTATAAAAGGCAAATCACTAGCGATAGTTCCTAATATAGATGCTCCTCTATAGAGAACTTGTTCTTGGTAGGTCCCAGCATAATCACTTCCGGTCACTCTAATCCAAGCATGATTAATATTTTTATCCTTATTGTCTTCTGAATATACTATTCCTTTGATCAAATTTCTTAAAGGAGTGTTATACTCCAATTTAGAAGGCTCTTTTTCAAAATCGATAGAGTATTGACCATGAAAGTGACAAAAAAATTTAATCATTTTATCATCATAGGAATTGTTTAGTCCATGTTTGTCGGCTAAGCCACAGTGCGGGCAGGCAGCTCTTAAAGCTAAGCACTTCGATTCAGGAGATAATAAAGCTCCAATTTGCTCTCTTTTATTAATCAACTTGCCAATTATTTCTGGTATTTTTTCATGAGAATTGAAATCGGTTTGTCCTCTTATTTCATAGCTCACACCAGAATAGGACTTTAATTTTTTCAATAATTCCTCGTAATCATTCCGGTGTTGTTTAATTTTACCAGTATAAGAAATACTTTTTTGGTAACCCACGCCATCATAAGAACAATCCTGTTTATGATCCTTAGCGGTATCCACTAACTCTAAAACAACAGACACATTTTTTTTTCTTTGTTGCAGTTCGTGAGCTAGCGAGAAAGCTAAAGAAAAGGTCATCAAGGTACCAAAGTGTGGCGAACCATTGGGCTGGGCTCCTATACTTATCTTTATGTCTGGTTTAGTTACCTGACTTGTAATGTAATCAATATAACCTGTTTTGAATACATAAGAACCACCACCAAGGGGGTGTTGAACTTTATTATCATGTAGTATTGTTGAAAATTGGCCTGTGGATATGTCAAGCATTGAATTTGAGATAATTTGCGACACTTGAAAAGTAAAATGTCCAAGTCAAAATAGATCGCAAGGCAATGTGTTGTATGTAAAGATTAGAACAAGAACATTATGAAGTATTCATGAGCAAAGTACTGTATTTATACGTAGCATAGTGATTTTGGTGTCATAGCAAAAAAACATCATAAAAAGTACTCGAATTATGCATTATCGTTATGTGATAACAAAGTCATGTATTCATAAGATTACTAAAAGTAGCTTATTGCCTTTAAGGCTTACATTTTTATATTTTTCTTTTGATTTGTATAACCATTTATGGTTGATCTAAAAAACATCATGCGGGTACATGATCCCTTATAAAGCTATTTCAATAAAAACTCAAATTCAAATCTATAGATATTTAAATAATTATGTATCTTTTTATAATTTTTATGAACCTAGTTTATAAATACTATCGTCACCAAATCCTTAGTAAAGTTCACATTTTTTCGAAAAGCATAGGTGCGCTTTGGTCATGTGATTGGAAGAATTCCGGACAGCCAAAGGTGCCGGAAATAAATTCAA